TCCGTGGACTACGAAACGCGTCTCGCGATGCTTAATCTCTTTCCCCTGGAGTACCGTCGCCTCCGAGGAGACCTAATTCTTACCTATGCCCTGTTTGAACAAAGCTTGGCCAACAGGTTTTTCACCGTTGACCCAGCAAACACGCGGCGGGGACATAGTAAGAAAATTTTCAAGCTCAGAGCACGCACATTCTTTAGACAAAATTTTTTCTCATTTCGGGTAGTAGGTGCGTGGAATGGCCTTCCTCCGACGGTTGTTCATGCTTCTTCTAGAACCCAGTTTAAAGCACTATTAGACATTTATTTATGCGAATCATCGCGCTGGCAAGCATACTGCCCCGCGCTGAGAACATAAAGAGCAGTGCTACACCCATTTTTCACTTGTGCCTTTCAGGTGAACGACAGCCACTGACAGACAAGAACAAAAGCAACCCGGGAAACTTGGGCAAAAGCCTCGATCCTGCGTTAATCCCTGCATCCGTGAACGCAACTCGTGTATCGCATTCGATAAAGGTTCTTCGACATTTTTGTGTCTACCAGAGGACTCATAGCGGAATTGCCTGCCTCAACCTTGATGACATTTTTGCTTTCATGAGTTGGAGGTCATAAGAATATCTCCCGTGTGTGTTGTAGTTGTTTACACGCATTCAGTGAATGTGGAACTGCAGAATTTTTCATTAAGAAATACGCACGAACCAAAATTCATTCGTATTCGAGGCAGTGCATCTGTCCTCTATTCTACGTATAGTCCATCCGCCATCCTTAGTGGGCAGCTGGTTCGCAAACCAAATATGTCTGCTCACTCTGAGACCATAAATTTCACAGGTCATATAAGAAACCATTAGACGGAATGAACTAACTGAATGTCCGAACCTGAACTTTCGAACAGTGGCGCCCCATTTGATTGACATGCGACGGTCGCGTTCGGATGTTTTGTGCATGGCATTATGGAAATAGCATGTACCGATGAGGTTAAAGTTTACAAAGACGAGGGCGAAGAAGATGAACAGAAAAAGTCCTCCGAAAATTTGACGGAGGATAAGGTTGGATTGGTGATTGAAGGCGAAGGACAAGTAAGCTTTGTCGTTAGTGTAGTTTGTAATTCATAGTTTATTAACATTGATTTTCACCCAGAAAATCAATCGCGCTGATTCTCTATGGGTGCTTAAAGACTTACTGATAGTGCATGGTAATCAGTAGATTGAGTTAACCGTCATGGCAACGGCACCAGCTGTTCCGTACCGCTAATCACTAGGATAATGCGGAAGGGCCTAAAGTTTGACAGTGTCAAACTTGGCATTGGTAGTGTCCCAGTTGAGGCTGCCAAGTAGCCCTTGCACATGGAATATTCAATGTGGAGGTGGCATTTTGAAAGACGACTGAGGAGCACATACATTCCCGAAACATACTAACGATGATACTAGGATCTCTTCGTAGTTTATCCAGTTCTGCTAGCTTGTTTCTTGTACGGGAAACTTTGACAGAGAATTTTACGTGTTTACACGTTCTTGGCTTTGAAAAGGCGTTCAAGCTCACTGCTTCTCGCATAAAAATCTGACGGATTACGAACTCGGGGGAATGACCTTGTCATGAATTATTGCAGACGGATAGTCGGTGATGCAATACAGCACAAGTTTTCAGCTTGGGAACCTGCATCAAGTGTTGTCTTTTAGAGTTAATTTTCCAACCACAATGCTCGCAAATAACATCTAAATCCGTGGAATCCAACTCCGATGCACTCAGACAACTCAAGGTTGTGGCGGACCATATTGATTGGAAACGATACAGCGTCACTACAGGGGATCTGGATTTGGTTCAGAGATAAAGTTTATTCAAAAGCCCTTTAAGCTCGGGAAACATTTGATCGCTTTGACTTGACTACCGTTTATTGAAACTTCTCTTTTTCCTTATTTCGATGCATACTGTCTCCGGGCTAAGTACACAAAACCCTAGTTTGGGCGCGAGCCTCAACTTACTTGGGAGGAGCTCGGGTACCACACACTTCAGTTGCCTGGCGTCTTATAAACAGAATGAAATGGTATGTACTATCTATGGTGTGGACACTGCAATCAGCTCCAGTACTGACAACATAAATCGTAACTGTTCAGCTGTAGCACCCTTTCGGTGTCTAGCTGCTACGCCACCCGTAGGTTGCACGAGGGCTGAGGTACTGCCAGGTTACCCAAGCCTAGGCAGGGGGAATTGAGAAGCAGATGTCGGGTTCGAACCACGACCTTCCTGTCAGTAAATTCGCGCTCCAACCCGTTGGGCCATCCAGCCCCCAAAACTGAAAACATACGGCTGATTCATTCAGGTCGATTAAACGACCGTCGTTTACCGGTGAAGAACTTCGATTGAAGCTTGCCGTATTTACTGATTTGCCTGATTCCTGTCGCCACATCGTCCTGGCCCGCTTGCCAATTGGCTTCCGATCAGCATGACGCAGGTTGGTGTAGTTGTTCGATCCAAGCTCAAATATCGAGCTGATCCAATTGGAGAGTCGCTTGAAACTTCGTCTTCATTTTCAGCTGTAAATTGGGCACGTGTACAGTGGCTATAGTTGCCACTTTTTGCGCGCCGATGATTCGGATGGATAGAGTTGGATATCTAGGCTTTGAAGACAGTGGCTGACTCATGAACCCAGGTATAACAGTGGACTTTTTGCAAACATGTCAATGGAAAGCTATGTACTGCAAGCAACAGCACTATAGGTAATGCAGGTTCAGGAAGCTGCTCTGGCCTCCCCAATCCGGATTGAAGTATCGTCTTTGGCTAAGCGAACAGGACTGATACAATCGCTCAGATGAACAAAGCTTAAGCGCTGCCTCTGTCCGCTCATAAGGATGGATGATATTCACGTTCCAACCCATCTAGTCTTGCAGCAGCTCTGTCCACTTTTCAGGTATGATGTGCATGCCAAACCGTGAGGCAAGATTATTTGGATTGTGTTAGTATCGCTTGCTTTATAGTGGTCTGAAATCCAAGAAGAGCTATGTTTTTTGGCACTCGATATCTTCGGGTGAATTACCTAGGGAAATTTTGACCCCACAAGAATTAGAGCCTGGGAGTGTGTCTTCCACGGCAACATCAATGGCCATGCTGTAGAGAAGAGGTGACAGACTAGCCTTTCCTGACACCATATCATCGTTATCAAAGATAGTAATATCAATATTGACACTGCCTCACTGCCGTACAACCATTGAGTTCAGCTATTTATACTTAAAGCCTTCAACTGAAAAGAAGAGAAAATATTTGGTGAGACAGGGAACATGGTGATTGCCCGTTGCAAACATTCTGCGGCACCTACACTTCCAAACGTTCAGCCAAACAATCTGGGTATAAGCTGGCAGCACGAACATCACTGTCATCGATTGGCCACCATTTCTCGCAACGTCTTCAGCCAATCGGAGGGATGGTTACGAGGATCCTGTCCTGAAAAGCGGACCCCACCAATTATCCACAAGCTCTCTTTACTCTCTTTCACACCCTTCTTCTAAGTCATATGTTGTCCACCTCGTGGTTTGCAAGCCTTGTGGCGTCATTGATTCTTCGGCGTCTTACGGTGGCTCACGAAACCTTCACTCGTGAGAATCGAGCGGGATCTCGACCTGGTAGGGACTGTGCTGACCCCACCTTCACATTCTGTCAGTTGTTAGAGCAACGCAACCCAGAATTTTGATATTCCTTGACTTCAAGCGTGCGTTCGATTCTGTCAATCAATCAGTGCTGCTAAATACACTTGCTCAACAGGGTATTGCCCAGAAGTTTGTGATCGTAGTCCAGTCCCTATATTTACATACTTCTGGGCGTAAGAGTGTCGGCGAGCTTCCCTACAGGAAGTGGTGCGCGACAAGGATGTCTACTCTGCATTCTCGTTCAACTTCACCACTGATGGAATAATGAAGCGAACGCCGGAAGTTCTTCAAAGTCCCGGTGTTCAAATTGTTGCTGGAGTGAGCCTTATCGATCTGGAGTACGCAGATGACACTGTTGTCATTTTTGAAAACCAAAGCGAACCACAAACCCTGTCGAATAAACTGACCACCATCGTGCCATCTTTTGGCATGCGCCTTGCAACAAAGGCTTGCTTCAGAATGCACAGTCTCTGAACATGCCCTTACAGTTCAAGGAGAATCACTGGAGATTGTGTAAAACTTAACATATCTCGGTAGTTGTGTTAGCTCTGACGGAAGTGTGTCTGATGAAGTCAGTGCAAGAATCTCAAATGGTCGAATCAATTGTGGTGACAAAAAGGCATCTCACTGGATCTTAAGGGTCGTGTGTACCAGGCTACAGTAAGGGCTGTGTTGTTGTATGGGTGCGAGACATGGCCTCTGCGAGTAGATGATGTGAGGCGTCTCCAGGTTTTCGACCACCGATGCATCAGAAGCGTGGCTGGTTGTGAATGGCGTCAGCGTGTTAGTAACGAGGTGATTAGAAAACGGGTATTTGGTTGTGCTGCAGGCACCTCAATCCGGGAAAACATCCATCCTCATCGACTACGATGGCTCGGTCATGTGCTACGCATGCCGAAACATCGTCTGCCGAGGTGAGTGTTGTTCTCCCTGCCTCCTTCAGGATGGTGCAAACCGCGGGCTGGACAGCAAATGACTTGGCAGAAAGGCGTGAAAGATCACGAAGATTTTGGTGTCGCTGGTGTCGTACGCCTTCCAGGATGGGTTCCCAGTGACCCCGCCTGTGCTTGGCTGGAGACGTTGCAAGAACTGAGTGTCTGATTGAGCGGTTGGAGGTGTAGGCACCTCAGAATGCTTGAGATAAGCCCACACTAGGTCCCCTCCCTCACCCACTTTCTCCTTCACTCTGGGGTTTATATATATATATATATATATATATATATATAAGTTTGGCAAACCTAATGGCTGGACGGCAGTGAAGCATCAGTGTCAACACTGATGTTGCTGTCCTTGATGGTGATGATGATGCCTTTCGGTGCCTAGCTACAATACCACCCGGAAGAAGCACGAGGGCCTGGATACTGCCAGGTTGCCCAAGCCTAGACAGAAGTCGAGATGAAGAGGTCAGGTTCGAACCACAGACCTTTCGGTCAGTAAACTCGCGCTCCAACCACTGAACCATCTTGCCTTGACGTCTGAGACATCACCATCAGTATTATCGGCTATAACAGCCGCTTACTTGTCGTTCAGGGGTTGCAGCTGCCACAGTTTCGTCTGAGACGTCGGTGATCAAAACTTCAAAGGCGCCTCACATCTGCGTGCGTCTGGCTACCATACAACAATAATACGGCCCTTACTGTAGTGCGGCAAACGACGCTTGAGGCCCACTGATACGCCGTTTTGACGCCAGCGGCGGAAATTAGCAGACGCGATTTGGGCCTTTGAGCTTCGTGCACTGACCTAATCAGACACACCAACGTAAGAGCTAATGCATCTGCCGTCGTATGTAAAGTTCTCCACGACCTTTGATGATTCTCTTTGACTTTTAAGGGTCATGTACGGAGATTGCAAGTTCTGA